TAATTACATGTGCATTTATCACTTATAGACGTAATTAAATGTGCATTTATCACTTATAGACGTAATTAAATGTGCATTCATCACTTATAGACGTAATTACATGTGCATTTATCACTTATAGACGTAATTAAATGTGCATTTATCACTTATAGACGTAATTACATGTGCATTTATCACCTATAGACGTAATTAAATGTGCATTTATCACTTATAGACGTAATTAAATGTGCATTTATCACTTATAAACGTAATTACATGTGCATTTATCACCTATAGACGTAATTACATATGCATTTATCACTTATAGACGTAATTAAATGTGCATTTATCACTGATAGACGTAATTAAATATGCATTTATCACTTGGCTTTGTTCTGTTTGAAAGCGCCAGCTGCTGAGTTATCTGTAAGTTTAGATACATTTATCCCCCAGATAGACGACTGATGAGAGTTTGTGATCACCAACAGTAGGGGGAAGGGGAAATGAGGGTGCCCCCATCTAGTCCTGGATCGATGCTTCTTCTATATCCTAAAGAATCCAGCTGTAATGATCACGTTTTTCTATTGTTACAAGCAGAGCAAAAATAAGATCTCTGTTAAGTGGTGAAAACCAAGAAATCCGTTACTCTTTACTATAAAACACCAAGAACGTCTTCTCAAGTTTGACAACTACCAGAAGGAATACTTTCACGTTTATTCACTGAGTATTATGTCCTAGAAACTGATTAAGTACTTTTGAAGAACTTGTTATCGAGATTGATAAAGTTTTACTTATAGAACTTCTTATTGTAGGTCTACGAGTAGAGATAACTTAAAGTTTAACGTCACATACGTAAGTAAGCTTAAGGTAAGAGACTCAACTTGTTTGAGCCTGATGTGATAATAAAAGGTTATAAGTCAAATAAAACAAAGCTTTAAATAAAACAATACCAAAAGCCCGACAGAAAAGTTTAATTTGCGCAAATTATCGAAAGTTTTCATATGTCTACAACATGGAATTGTCAAACAAAAGAAAGCAAAACCTGTTTCCGCAAATTCTGATAATTAGCTACCTAAACTACACGACAGTGAATTACATATTTTAACCTGTTTCCACAAATTCTGATAATTAGCTACCTAAACTACACGACAGTGAATTACATATTTTAACCTGTTTCCACAAATTCTGATAATTAGCTACCTAAACTACACGACAGTGAATTACATATTTTAACCTGTTTCCACAAATTCTAATAATTAGTTACCTAAACTATACGACAGTGAATCACATATTTTAACCTGTTTCCACAAATTCTAATAATTAGTTACCTAAACTACACGATAACGAATCACTTGAAAAACGTCATATATTCTATTCATATAACAACGATCTGTTTATTATCAGATGACAGACTGTAGAGTTGGATTAAAGTTGTCCTTGATGCGGGGATTTTATATGTTTGTTTGTCCGTGTGATGACTAGGATGACAGATAAGCTCTGTCAGAACACTGGCTTTAATTAAGATATATTAGGTTTACAAAGGCTCTAAAATATCAGTTGTTATTGACCGGTTCAAGGTCTCATTGTCCAAAGGATGGAACACAACCATTATGCGTCTAATAATCTACTCTAAATAATCAATATGAAAATAATGATAACTTTTCTACTGATTTACTGGCAGTCCGCTTTGGATTATCTTAACTTGTCAACCAATAAGTTCCAAGCTACTCTAAGTGATATGTTACAAGATCTTGTGAGAGGGATGATTAGGCATTTAATGAAGATTTGGTGTTTATTTTAGAAGGCATGACCTATAAGAATATACCAGTCTCAAAATGCAATCAATCAAACACCGAAGAACATGGACAACAATAGCAGAGTTCTGAAGAACGTACGTACGGCGTCAACATGGACAACAATAACAGAGTTCTGAAGAACGTACGTACAGCGTCAACATGGACAACAATAACAGAGTTCTGAAGAACGTACGTACAGCGTACGTACAACAATGTCAAAATGTAACTCTAATACCACTACTCACGAAACGCCAGTGTCAAAATGTTGTTCTGATAAATACCGTTCCACAATGACTTGATTTGCAGAACGCCTTTGTCATTAAACAACATCGTTATATATAAAGCTATACTCTGAAGTGTTGACTTGAGTAACTTTGGCATTTTATATGATTAAGGAACGATCATATACTCCGGAACAAGGTTACATTCACTTCACTCAACATCTTACTTAGACTTCTGGAC